ACACACACACACACACACACACACACACACACAGTGTTTTAGGCCAAAGCCAGAGCCCAAGTTGAGTGGGGTTAAAAAAAAGCTTGTCGTGTATTTGAGTAAATATGGTAAATGACATTCATGGACTGTCCTTGTCTCATAGAGCAGTAAGCAACACAGCCAAGTACTGCACGGATGTAATATGTGCAATATGTGTATAATACCTCTTCAAGAAAAACTAGAGTAAAAGAATTTACATGCAATACTAACACGGACTTTTTTATTTTTGAGTCTTTATACAATTTAAATGTTTGTTTAATTATTAGAATAGAATAAAATTTAGTTCACATTACATTTCTAGAAGTAATAGTCTCTAACATGATGCTCTCAGGTGCAGTTGGAATTCTTTTTAATATCAGTGTATGCTGCCCTTGGAAAATTGAGCATCTTTTGTGTATGGCACCTTGAGACTTGAGAGGGAATGTTATCTGAACATGAATTGTCTGTCACTCCAGCTTTCAACCTTAACCTTAAACTCAAACTCACTGAATACAATAGCAATCACTGGTCTTTAAAGCAGGCCCTTCATGAAGTCGATTGCTCATTAGGATAAAACCTCAGGATTTTGCCTAGGTTACGATTCTCCTTAATCCCATTCTATACAAGAAATCAACATGAACTAATTTTTTTAAGGGTTAATATAAAACAGGTCTGACACTCTGGGTGATCCGTGGTGATAAGAGAAAAATTATGATTCCATTTTAGGAAATAGTTTGTGACTACAAGAAGTTGTGCTAATTAACATTGATTTAATTAGCACAACTTCTTGTAGTGTAGTTATTACGCTTGGGTAAACAGGCCGTTAAAGGCTATAGCCAACTTTGCTTCCTTCCAGAAATAAAGATTTGAAATACCTACAGACCAAGAAATTAAAAAGATACTTGTATGTATTTATGGAGTATGTCTGATAAATTACTTTGTCAATATTTCAATATTTATCTCTGCTTGGCAATGAGGATATGTTATATGTACTTCAGATTTCTACCTTAGCGCTTCACAGTGTTTCTTTTAATTTTTTCATTTACATTTAGGATTCATTTGATCACAGACAAAGATGCCATAGATCATTATTTGGCGATGAATATCAAAGGGTTGTCAAAACAAGAGGCTGCTGCGTAAGTATGGCCTTTTTGAGGCATTTTAACATACAGCAAGTTTATTGTTTCCTTTGTTTCTAGTCATCATAATCATTGAAATCTAAATTTCCCCAGGCCTTACACCTTTTCAGTGGAACTTGGCATTTAAAAATTAAAACTGGTATTAAATAATGATGGTTCACTTCTACTGATCTTACATATATCAAAGCATTTAATTCTATGGCTTTATTAATTTTCATATTTACCAAGGTATTATTTTACATTTGCAATGTTATGGTTAAGATTGTGTCAGTAATTGTATTTGAAATCACTTTTTTTTATCCTCAATGGAAACCTCTCCTGGGGGGCTGACACTTCATATACAAGAATAAATATTCTTGTAATTTTGAATTAATATTTAGGCAACCCCAAATACTGATTATTTTTTTAAAGGTGCAGCATTTAGTACACCATTAATTCTTTGAAAAGTCGATGAATAAAAACAATCTAGATACCTTTTGATTTCTTACTGCTTTTCTTACCACTAAGTTATTTACACTTTAAAATTACAAGTCTATAGATTGACTACTTTTGCTGGTGTGTTTTAACAGATCTGGGGTTTGGCTCCATCAAAATTAATGAAGGAATCATAACAAATCTGAATTACTGATAGCTAAAATGGGATGATTTATTTATTTCAATATTTAAATAATAAAAATATGCCTATACAAGGGCTCTAGGCACCTTTACAATTAATATTGCAACATAGCCCCAGCAGCACTAAAACAATCAATCAGTCAGACAGGAACTCGACTAGCCAGCCACATACTAAAAAATCTTGTTTCTCCCCTTCACTATTCCAGGAATATTCCTTCAACTATCTCTAAAAACTCTATTACGTAGATTTTTCTTACAGCACGTCTTGAAGGTCACCAGATTCAGGCTATTTTTGACCAAAGGGGTGAGTTAAAGAGGTCCTGACATCCTAACAAAGAATACCTTGCCAGCTGTAGCCCTCTTTCTTTTATAATAATTCAAGCCTGGCACCTCTACTTACCATTGCTATGGCAATATGATAGATTTAGTAATTGTGAAATCTCCCTGAAGTATCAACAGAAAAGATTCTAGTGTAACTTGGTATGATGTGCTAGGAAAGCATTCTGTGTTAAAACAAACTTATTCTTTCCTTTCTGTGGACTTTTTAAGAAGGACTCTTCTGGAAGGCAAATACAAATGGATCCAAATCATGTACCAGATTATGACCCTCTGCACATTGATTAAGGAATTAAGAGATTTAAATTGCCCTTTTTGCTCCTTTATATGAGTTGTTGTCATGCATCACAGTGCAAGAGATGAGGCTAATTCTAGTCACATGACAACTGGAGCAGAGTCAGTGAGCTGGAATTGATAGTAAGTGGAACCTTGAATCCATTTCCTTAGCATACAAGACAGCATGGTTGGGCCAGCATGACTGATGGAGGAAACTATGCCAAATATAAGAGCTGGTATGAGTTACTTCTCCTTTTTCCTCAGTGAAGAAGTAGTCTAGTCCCTGGTCTTTTGCAGAGGCAGCACAACTCTATGCTGCCCTTCATTTAATAGTTGTGATACAAGCATATAAAGGACAAATCTTTCCCTCCACACGCTGTGGGAATAGACAAGCTTGAATGAAGTAAAGCTAATATGTTTCCATTGTGCAAAGGAATAAAGAGCAGAATACGGGGAATGTGTATGGGAAGAAACATGTTCACTTATGATTACCCTTTTAATATGGAGAGACAGGAAAGCTTGTTTTGGTGAACTATAGCTACAGTGATGGGAAACTGGCTTTCCCTACTAAGGGAGCAAGGTTTGCTTCCCTACACTGCCCAGGAGGAAATACTGCACAAGCCATTACTAGGCACAGAAATATCTTCTCTGTGATCAGATATGAAACCAGCATGACCTTAGGTAAACTGGTGCACCTGGGTAGATTCTAAGTTTGATTAGATCAACTGTCAGCCATCATAGAGATTTCTGTAAGATTTTTTTTACATCATTCCTAAATACAAAAAGTTCTGAGGCTGTGAGACAGTCAAAAACAGGTCAATGCACAATGAGGTGAAAATGTACCATCTGTCCTTCAATACCTTTGGTGCCAGTGAGGTGCTATTTGTAAGTTTTCCTAGTGCTTCATAATGTGCTATTCATCAAAGTTATTAAAGCTTCTTGAAAGATTAAAACTGAAATACCATATGCATCTTTGTTCATATACCATATGAGCAACATCTTTTAAAAGATCATGTTGATTATTCTTACCTTAGATTATTAATTAATACTAAAAATACACAAAGTTAACAACTGTTGGAACAACTCAACAAGCCTGCATCCTAATGCTGACAATTGGCAACTGTCAGCATCAGGACCTGGGTAGTGCCCTCATCCAGGTTCCAGACTGGGGACTGGTCAAGTCCTGATTGTCAACATAATGGGGCAACCCACATTTTGGCACCATACAAACCGGCCATAATGATGTTCCACATATTTTGTGAAACACCTTTGTGGCTGGGTTGCTATTTTATGGTGCCATAAATTTGATGATCATATGGCATATTGCTATTCATGATGGGATTAATATAGTAATTGCTCCATTACTGTATGATGCCAGGAGCCCCAGATGGTGCTTCCTCCACCACTCTGGCTACAGCAGCCTGTATCCCTGAGCTCCCCTTCCACCTCCTGCTTCCAGTTCCTGTCTTGCCCCTGGAGTGGAGTGGGATGGGGTGTTGCAGCCTGACATGCCTGGAGAGCTTGCAGCCTGGGTAGATGTGCAGCAAAAGAGCTGAAGATGAGTTTGGGGATGCCGATGGTACAAGCAGAGAGAGGAGGTAACCCACATGCATGGTGCAGCTTGGGAGACTCATGTTTCATGCTGGTGCAACCTACAGGGCATGGGGCCCTAGCTACTTAAAAGTAGGACAGCCTTGTTCTAATACATAGGGTCTCAATCTAAATGCTGTCACAATCTTACTTACCCTTTCCACATTGATAATTGGGAGGGGGTCACAAATAAATAGAATGAAAAGACTTGAAGATGGGTTCTGGAACAGAAAATATTAAGAATCACTTTTCTTTCATGTTTCTAGTAACACATAAGAAGGTTAATTTGTTTAATACCTTTTTTTAATTTGACAATGCATATTTGAACAATATAATGATCTTATATGCATTATGTAATTACTCTTCATAAGTTTATTCCATAAAGATAAATCCTTTAAAATCCTTCAACTTTTCCTAAAAGTATTTCCTACTTTATTTGTCAGCACACTCTGGACAGGTAAAATTTTAGTGGTCTATGAATAAGGGAATGCCTGTGGTTCTCTCCTTTTGCTAAATGATTTTAAAAAAGCATTATGGGGAAACAATCTTCTGTTATATGCCTGACCTTGAACCATGCACAAAAACTTTACCAAAATGAAAACAATTCCTTAAAAAGGGTGTTTGCCATAATCTTGCTCACATAGTAGGGAAGTGAGGAGTTTTTTTTTCTTAATCTTTATGACTGTGGCTATGATATAGGTCAGTATTATGTAAGTGGAAGGGAGTATGTTGATAATTAGAAAAAGATGTCTAATAATGTTGAGACATGATGATTATCTATCTTTTCAAGATCATTTCCTCTTGTTGTGTTTGTAGCCAACTATTTGAAAAAAAAGCAAGCGTTCCTCTTTAGCAAAGTATAGCTTCTCTCCTCTTTCATGATTTAGGCTGTTATAAACTTGTGCTGTGATTCTGTCACTGATTCCTTTTGCTGATAGTTCATACCTTGATTTTGATCCACAAATCCATTAATAGATCACATCATAGCTATGTTAAAGATCTTCACCTAACAAATGTCATAAAAGTTGATCTCCTCAGGGATAATGTAGTCACAAGCTCAGAATGAATCATGTGAAAGCTATGAGTAATGCCTCTCTCAGTCAAGGAGGTCACTGTATGTAATGAAGCTCCAAAGCAGGGCTTCTGAGTGGCTGGGTGTCTTCCTTCTAAGGGCCTTGCTTCATAAATAAAAGCAATGTGGAAAGATTTGGTGCAGGCTACAAGGTCTGGGTAATTTAAAATGTAACCCTAAATAAAATATTAACTACTTAGGACACACAAGGATAAGGCATTTAAATCATGTCCTAATACTATCCATGTATGAAATCCTGTTGATTTCAATGTGGAGCTTACTGCTTAATTTAACCATTACTGCTAATTCTTGTAGGAACAGCAGCTTTTCTCCCCTTATAAAACTCATTACATTATTACTCAGGGTTGTGTGATGATCAGTCTCTCTTCAAGTATTTGCACCTCATTAAGCTCCTTACATTGTTTCTCAGCACCTTGTCTCTATTAGCTTGAAACTGACAGAATCTGGTCAGTTTCAGAGGTGCTAATGGCATAGCACAAGCAGAATAGCTAGAAGGATTAACCCTCCACCTCATGTCACACCATTTTCTGATTATCACATGAGCCCATTATATGTAGCTTTGAGTGTATCAGTATAGACATACCCTGCATTTCTTTTGCAGAAGTAGAGACATCCCTCTGTAAGCCAGTCTCCAGGGTTGTCACCATGCTTGTAGGTTATAGGCAGCTTGCCCTGAATGATCTAGGAAAGGGGTGTCTAAATCACTTGGCCCCACAGGCCGGATCCAGACTGCAGGGATTCTCACAGACTGGACAACCCACCTCTGGTGGTATCTTGTTAGTATGGTTTCCAGAGCACTGCATCGGAGTGGCTCTAGGACCCAGTGGCTGAACACCTCTACTGCTTGCTTCTCACCTTTTCTCTTGCCACCAGTTTTAATTGCCAGTAGTGACCAAAGACCCCCAATTTGGTGGCAGGCAAAGGGACAGGGGGAGCAATCACTGGCACCGATGTTCACTCCCAGAGTTCCTGGGGGAGCAAACTATACCAGTGTAGTGGCTCCAGCAGCCATCCCAACAAGCCTACAGACTGGGCAACAGGCCACCAGCTGGGCAGCTCTGGCCTAAGTTAAGGGAAGACCTTATGA